GACACAACCCCTGTTTACAGATTTGTATAGGAAAGCTTCAGAGTTGACAAAACCTTTGTGCAAGAGTCGGTTGATCTGGTAGTTGAACTTATCAGTACACTAACAATCTGTATCACAAGGACAAAATAATCGACAGCTTGAAGCAGCCTTCTATGAAAAAATGAGCTTCAGGTTTTGCTGTCCTAGCTTTCGCTGCCACCTAGTTCAATTTTACAGAACTGATTGAGCACATTCAGTGTCCAGGCTTCTCATTCTCGGTTTGGGGACCTTGTTTAGAAAATTCTGTTGCTCTATGAACAAATGCAGTGCACCAGATATCATATTGTCTAAGCAGCACTGGAAGTTATTGAAGTAACCTTTGAAGAATAAGCTAGCACCCCTTTGATACTTGTAGTATCCTATAATGACATTGACATTATCATACAAAATGAAGACACTGATGACACAGATCCGCATGCAGAGAGTACCCTCTCTTCGCTTCAGTAAAACCTTTCCACTTCATTGGAAATGTTTTGACTGCTATTCATCAATGAAATAGTTCTTTTTGAATGAATAGGGAATGGTTAGTGATAGGCAGACATTTCTTAAGAAATGTTTAGTGTGCAGGACTTCATTACCATACGGCAGCATTGAAGGCGTGAATCTAAGTTAGAAGCATGCGAGACACTTGGTTGGCATTCATGAGCGCCAAAAAAAAAAATGCGGAGAAGAAGACACAGGACTACTGCTGACTGCTAGCTGTTCTGGTTGATTAGTCCCCTGTCTATGTCCAATTTTTTTCCCCTGTTTAGCAATGAAGTTTAGAAGATTCTGCCAACTGTGAATGACCACATGTATACACACAAGCCTTCACTTGCTTCAGTATTTTCAGCCACAGTGATTGTTTGTAATCAATTGATGTTGAGCTGCATTTGAGAACATGTACTCAAAACGCTAATGAGATGGTTTTGAAAGCGATGAACATTTCGGAACTTCTGACACACATGGACATATGACAACCTGGTCAGTGTGACGTTAATAAAGTGGGAGCTGTTACTCCCCCAATAATTGCTCCATTACCGTAGCTAATACTTTTTACAGGAAAACAGGGAGCCAATGGTATCATGTTGAGACTCCTTGTGGGATGAAATAACCCGAGTATTGTTTGTCGCAATTTACAGAACAAAATTACATGCACAGGTAACATGATCGGTTAGGAGCATGTTAATGAACCTACACACCTCGAACAACACTGTATAGAACTAACTGTAAAACAGGCTGCATCCTTCACCAAACAATAGCTGCCTGCAACTTCTTTTGTCATTCGTGACGACCGACTTACAAAAGAAATACATCACTGCAGCATTGTTCTGCACTGCAGTTTAGAATTTTCATAGTCTATGTAGGAGATATTGTAACAACTGTAGCACTTCCACCATAGCTGCTCCTGCGGGACAAAGATAACACTGTGTTAGAAAAAATAATTTCACACATATATGCTCAGGGTGTGTTTGGCGATATCTTCAAAAATTTTTAAAGGTAAGGAAAATGTAACATTTCAACCCTGCCTTCAAAATTCATTTTTTTTGTGCATGGAGTCAGGCATTTGAACAAGACTAGAGGCGTAAGTTACGGTAATAATAAAAGAGTTTATCAGTTTATTTTTAAAGTGGCGGAAGCAAGCAGTGGTGGCAAATAGGACACTTTTGAGTTGTTCTTGGGAAGCACTTGTTTCCGCTTAAGGATTTCTGGGTAATTTTAACATAGCGGTAAAATCTGACAAATTTTGCCAGCGATACGAAACCAAAAAAATTCGGCAGATCCCACCTTCCTGGGAATCGACTTTATGCGAAGCATGCGGAGGGAATGTGACCATGTTGCATTTTTCTAATTGAGTGACACGCAATAAAATGACGCTAAATATGTGTGCAAATGTTGCACGTACAGACACATGCTAAAGACCTGCAGATGTTTGCACCTGCGCAACGATGCTAACTAGAACATGCGTATTAGCAACACCAGAAGCTGATATGAAGCGCTGTGCTTGCAAAGATGGCGAAGATGCTGGCCCTAGACACTGCTACATAAATGAACTTCAGCACATGGCACCTAACCACAATCGATGTCAACTCGATGTGATGGCTGTATCAAAGGAGTACATATGTAATGTTTGTAAAATTCGGTAGGCAGCACTGCAACCACTACTGATGTTTCACCAAAATTAGCGTCTATTTGAAATAGTAGTTCCGAGACCTGATGTAGCTCTGTGGTAGAATGCTTGACTGTCTCGCAGAATTCTTCGGTTCGATTCGTGTTGGGACCCTAAAATTTATTATTTGCATTCGCGAGGGGGTGGGGAAAGTAAAATCTGCCTATGTCCGGTTTTTCTTAACACTGAGATTTATTCTATGCCTTAGTTGGGTTGACGCCATCGATGTCGGGTATTGTTCACGCACTACAATTGCCCATGTGTGTTCTTGTCGTTGCTGCCTAGATACCAAGTGTCAATCACCTGTGGCACATACCCGCTAACCAGTGGCACATACCCGCCTGTGGGTATATGCCACTGTCTGGCGTGAATTGTTTGATGAAGTACGTGAGAGGATTGTGCAATCATTCATGTCTTGACCAGCGCGTCATATTCGTCAAACCATCTCACCTTCCCATACTAATTTTGGTTCTTGCCAAATTAAGGGCGTGGCCACGAGAGCCCCCAAACGTAAGCAGCTAGATTAGATAGATAGATAGATAGATAGATAGATAGTAGATAGATAGATAGATAGATAGATAGATAGATAGATAGATAGATAGATAGATAGATAGATAGATAGATAGATAGATACGCTCAAAGTGGCCAAAGTTTGCTAAGAAATGCTTCGCATTTAACAAGGAAGAGGGCAAGTGCCATATTCCTCTGAGAATTCTAGGATGAGCGAAATTAAGCTTCTCTTTGTGCAGGCCATGCTTGCGATTAAAGCACGCAAGCATGCACGGTGTGCATTTATCAATACAAAATGAAAAACACTACTATAGTCCTTCGCATGATCCTTGTTGCACTCATTTGCGCTTCAGTTTCGATTTCACCACTTAAATTGGCTGAATTTCTTTGCACCGGAATAACTGGGAAATGCCACTTTCTCGAAATTTCTAATTGGTAATAGGATCTTCACAGGAAGGGCTTCAATTCTAGAATACACCCCGACCCCCTCTCTTCACTAAGTGACATAAATAATAATCATTTGTGGCTTTTAACGTTTTCAAACCATGATATAATTGTGAAGGACACCTTATAAAGGGCTTCGGAAATTTCGGCCATGTGAAATTCTTTAACATGCTCCTAAAGATAATGCACAGGCCTTGAGCATTTTCGCCTGTATCGCAAATGCAGCCAACGCGGCAGAATTCAATCCCGTGACTTGTGGGACAGCAGTCGAAAAACATGACTACTAGACCACAATAGTGAGCTGTACTAATGAAGGGCGCTAACTTAATTTGTTTAATTACTGTCATATTTGAAGTATCTGGTAATCCAAAGATATGCACTGTCACAAAAAAAAAGCAATTATGAAAGAAGCCAGGGAACATTATATTTTATTCTAGTTCTCAGCCTTTCAGACACTTTTCTTAAAACAGTCTGTTGTGCTGAGGGAGGATCATAATTACTGTCATATTTGAAGTATCTGGTAATCCAAAGATATGCACTGTCACAAAAAAAAAGCAATTATGAAAGAAGCCAGGGAACATTATATTTTACTCTAGTTCTCAGCCTTTCAGACACTTTTCTTAAAACAGTCTGTTGTGCTGAGGGAGGATCATCTATACAGCTCTGTAAACAATGAATGTGTTCTCAAGCATACTGCTCAGTTCCCAACCTCTCATGCTCCCAAGACATTTATATTTACAACACACTTTTATGAATGGCAGTGCTGTTGCTTGTACCTTGAATCTTCCAAGGCATAAAAGGCAGTTCCCCTCAAGCTCAAAGTGTGTTAGAGAATTGCACAGTGACATGGGGAAACACTGCCTTGCTTTATTATAGCTTTACTATGTTCCTTCAATAACTGAATAATGAATGCCAATTGAATAACATCATAAGAAAGCAGCCACTTCTCGTGGCATGGTCTACAAGTACATTGATATGACAGTTCAAGCATACTGGCTGTTCTGCCCCATCAATTAAACACTTGCAGTATATGCACGCTGAGTGCCGGTACTTCGGAGTTGAGTGGACAGAAGTCTTCGAAGCACTTCAATTGAGAACACAGTGCCAGAAATACAGGTGGACCGATAGAGCCAGCCACGCACTGCGTCGAACTTTGGCTCTTCCGCTTCTTCACGCCACAAAATGGCAGTATTAGTCACGAGGCTCAAAGCCTGCGTTGCTGACAACTGGACGCGTGGGCTCCTATTGTGCAATAGTGGTGAACAGACACCTTCTAGCCACAGCAGTTGCCACAACCTTTTGCTTTTGCTTTATTCTTTTCGTGTGATGATAGGCTATCCTATTCTTGTGAGCAAGCCATGAAATGGGCAAGAAGTGTTCTGGGCCACGGTACGAATCTGATGACAAGAACTGCACTCAAAAAGTGCCACTTTTCACTGCCTGGTGAGAAGCGAACCGCCTCAAGGTATGGCGCCATATGCTTCCGCGCAAGGACCGCATGCTGCAGTTGACTGATCATGTCTGCGCGAAGCTCTTCGAGCCAAGGTACACAATGAAGAGGTGGAAAGCAGTTTACAAATGACGAGTGCACCACGAAAGGCATCTTATGCTAAAGAGGCCGTACCGACAAGGTTTTTCGACTGCTGTGCTCACCGAAAAAAAAAAGGAAAGCCCCTGTGGATCGTTCACGCCCTCCAGCAAGCAAACGCGCTGCCTCAAACTGGAAAATACTACCATACTTCAAAAACTTATGCCAATGGCGACCTAGCAGGCATGTGGCGTGGTCTGTGAGACAAATAAACAAAACCATGTGGCATCTGATGCCACAGAATTCGAAGCAATAGCAGATACGGTATTACCCACAAGTTTGATCAATATAGTTTTTGAGAACGATAGTGCCTTTCCCAACAATAACCTGAGCTTAACACAAGGTTGAGGTTGACGGGCTGAGAACAATCATGTTTTGTGAAGTTTTCATTACAAGTAAGGCAGCTACTAAGCCAAATGATTCCGCAACTGGCGCGAGCTAATTCTGCTATGCTACTGTTCCCAGCCGCGTCATCTTTGAAAGAGTGGGGAACTTGTCGAACAACTGACTGTAATTCTAGCTCAGTCGGGCAAACTTATGCCTATTCAATACACCCAACTCCCTCGCAACATCAATGATATTGAAATGCTTGTCAGGCGATTCAGCCCAACCCGTTTGTGTGCCAGCTGGTCACCTCTAGATCACCACAATAAAATGCATCTCTACATCACTGTAACAAAATGTGCTGTTTTTGAGTTCATCCTCACCCTGAGTTGGTAATTTTCTATGAACCATCCCTGCCTGCGTGTGCTGTCTTCTCCCCGTGAGATTTCTGCACTTGTTAATAAGAATATCCAGGGTTTTATGAGCTGGAATCACGTACGCTGTAGTAGGGCTCCAGAGATTTCGCCAACGTGATGTTGTTTAACGCGTACTGACCCACACAGTGCATGTGCCTCTATGATGTAGCGTACATCAAACGTGACCGCTGCGACACATATTGACTGTTTGTTTTTCTGCAGTAATACTATAGCTAATAGGTTATTTTTGTTCCTGCAAAGAATATATGCACGATGCCACGTGTCCTAATGTTGAAGCAAGCGCCTATTGCGGAACATAGGGGCAGTGAATTGATCATTTTTCACTGATATCTGCGGCTGTATCATCAGAATTCTGCATTATTTGTTCAATGCTTTTGTTCATTTATTTATTTTTTTGCTCGTTATAGAGCAGAGACAGTGTTTGCTCTTTTCATTTACTTCGAGCGGCGTCCCTGGCCCCGAAACGACCACGCATGAAGCGGCATAATAGCCCTCCTGAGCTATGGTTACCGTGGTGCCATCTCTGGCCCTCTCTGGTTGAGAAGATAGCTCTGCCCTTGGCCTCTCAGCTATCTCCGGGCCGGAGCAGAGTGTGGCGAGGGACGACCACGGCTGCTCTTGGAAACTGCAGTCTTCTTGCATTCCTGTGAACTTTTTTTAAACTGAGATGGCGCAATAAATTTGTCCAATCACATTTTGGCAGCAATACACGCCCCAACTTTGTAAGTGACATGTGGGCTGGCAAAGAAGCCCAAGGTCCTCCTGCTACAACTCCATCACATATGGCCTCTTTGGCACAGTATCTGGCAACCGCTTCCCAAATAATGCTTAGATAAACGTAGCTTAGTATTGTCAGTCCCGTGTTCTCGTATCGCCTAAGTTCGTCTTCCATTAGGGTTTTTCTTCTAAAAGATCACAAATGAACCTCAGGACTTAACCACAGACACTCCCAGCCACTGAACAACTGACCATAGCAGCAGTTGAACATGAGAAGCTGCGGAGAATGATAATAATGTCTTGAGTCGAACAGCTCACCACTGGAATCTGAACCTGGAAACGTTCTATGCAAGGCTCTATCAAGTGAAGTGACATTCTTTTTATGCACTTCACAAGTGGTTTTCAGGCTAAGAAAAACTACAGCAAGCTAGACTACATCAAGAACCCGATAAAGTAAAGCTATAGAAGACTACACTTAACTGAGGTTACAAGGTCACAAGCCAACATGCCCAATGCAAAAATGCTGAAGAGGACGGTATGCAGTCGGTTGAGCAAGAGGTGAGCGTGTTTTATATTTAAGAAACTTGTGATACCCTGTTAAATTGAATGTCTCAAAACATATGTGCCACTGAGCTGAAATCATAGGAAGATTTAGGAGACTTCAAGAATAATAGACCCATCAACTTAATTTCAGTATTGTATACTAATATTTACGAAGATAACTGCATACAAGATAATTGGAGCACAATCTCAACAGACTTTCAGAACAAGCAGGTATCAGGAAAGGATACTCTACGATAGATAAAAACCATGTAATCAATCGCAAAATTCAGATATCTGCTAAATACAACCAGGCCTTCTATTCAGCTTCCATATACTGAATAGATACATTTGACTCACTAGAAATTCCAAAGGTTATTCACGGAAGCATGAAGTGACCAAGGAGTACTTGAAAGATATGAATGTCCTAGCCACCATCTACAAAGATTGTACAGCTACCAGAAAAAGAATCTAGTACTTGTGAAACAGAAAGCGGTCAGAGAGAGACTGAAAGCTTTTATTTGTATAGTTATAAGTGATCTTCCCGTAGTGAGCATAGAAGAAGATATTATTTCCCCAACTTTATTCAATGCATGCTTGAAAGTGTTGAAACATCCAAACTGGGCAGAAACAGGAATAAGTGCTTACGGAAAATATCTCGCCAGCCTACGATTTGTAGATGACACCAATGGGGACTGCGGATAAAAAAAATGACCGGAGGCCTAAACTGAGAAAATGCTAAAGTAGGGCAAACATTACCATTACTATGGAAACAAAGGTAATGATTATTAGTATCGCGAGAGTTCACAACTGGAAACCTCTCTATAAAGTGGCATCCCCGCTATACAAGAGTATGTTTACTAAGTAGGGAGCCTATTCAAATTCACCAAAAAATAAAGATGGACTGGAGCTTTTATGGACAGGCACTTTAGCATCGCAGGAAAAAAAGCAAATATACAGCCACTGTGTGTGATAATTAACAGAGAAATTTAATAAGAGCTCCACATGGGGACTAAACGAGAGCAGAATAGGAAATACTGAACAAGGAGGAGGAGCCGCCAGTATACCTGGCAAGGCAGGTCACGGACAGATGGCTGCTGGTAATGACAAAATGGACACTGAAGGATGGAGCTTAAGTGAATACAGTGAGATAGATAAAATGGAGAAACCATGAAGTTCCCAGTCATAAAATGGAATCAGTTCGCTCAAGATGGGATAAATTAGAGATCATTCGGAGCGGCCTTCACCATGGAGTTTACATAAAGCAGGTCAATCTAATGATGCTGATGATGATGCACATTATTAATTGCCTTATAGTGATGCTCATAAGGCAACAATTCTCATGTTCGTATACAGTCTTGTAGACAACTGGTGATGCTGCTGAACTTGGCAGAAATGAGGTCCTTTCATCAATATTGACACCTTTAGGTCCAGGCATCACTGTGGCATTGATGCTGATGGAAGGCACTCAAAACTGCTCATCCGAAAGAGAACAGGATCAGCAACTGCATTACAACACCGTGTAACAGCAAGCGGATAGTGGCTGACACAAACAGCACCTACAATAAATGCTCTACACTTGAGAATCAGTGTGGAGGAAACAGTTTCCAATGAGCCTCCTACTGTTGTTCGGCTGATAATCTCGGATAGCAATGTGGTTAATAAGTATCAAACTGAACTTTAGCTGGCAGGTGAGCAAGTAACGAGCTAGGCACAGTTCCACTGATGAAACCAGAATGTTATGACACGACAGTCTTCAGTGTAATTTGTCAGAGTGAGCACCACCGCTCTAAGTAGTTCTGCTCCTCAGGAAAATTTATATGTTGACTCGGGATGCAGGAGGCCCACTGATGCTGCCTGGATTGCTAGGCTGGGATGGCTTGAGCTCAAGGAACTGGTATGGCACATGGTAAGTCTGCCCCTTGTATTCGACGAGCAGGTGACCGCGCTGTGGTGAGGCGCCCACAACAACCACGGTTTCACTTTTGGGCAGTTTCACTTCACCCGCAGACTCTTCTGAAAGTAAAGGACAAGAAAATATTACCTGAGATATGTTTCGCAAGGTCAACAACAAGCAAAGGTGTACGAACATAGTGCGTACGTGCACAATGATGAAGCACTAAAAAGAAATCGATACTCGTGAAAAACACATGACAAGGCGCTATCGAGTTTATTCAGAAATAGCATCCAGCCCATATATAAAAATGTAAGTCATTGCTTTAATCAGATTTTAATGCGTGATCATAAGAGAAACAAACAGGCAAGAAATAAAATACCGTGCATGCACTCACACCAAGGCAACAAACACACTTGATTTTACCTTCTCTATAAAAAAGCAACTGCCCATTGAGAGGGCGAAACGGACGGCTGGTTAATGCAACTCCTTGTTCATTTCATTCAATGCCAGCGTATATGCGTGCTCCTTTACGAGAGCCGTCAGTCTGCTTTAGTGCAGGGAGTGGTCGTGATGCAATGCCACGTGATGGGTAGGGCTAGAGAGCATCAGTGCGCGCGAAAGAAGTGGAGCTGAACGAGCGCATCGAGGCACTCAAGGTAGGCTGCTTGCGTCACACATGTGTCTGAGTGCTTTCCTCACGAAAATGCAATAGATGTGTTTTCCTGTCCAAAGTTATGCTTCTTTGTTCCTTCGTGCTCCAACTTTGTGGCTCTAAGCAAATGCCACCTCAAAGCGATCTTGATGCAGCAGCGTCCCAGTGATGCATCCCCATCAGTTGCCCAGGTAATGCCACAAAAAAAAAAAGTGCTATCTCAAACAAACATCGTGTCTCTTACAGAGCCAGCGTAACTGCTAAGATTGTGGACACGAGGATTGCAAGACGTCACCCCTGGGATCTGTACACAACTGAACAAAAAATTACTTTGTACGATTGCCTTCATGAGGCACCACATGATGGGTTCTCTTAAAAAGCCCATAAACTACCTAGAGGTCGAAATTCAGTTGTGGTAGGAAAATTGTGCAGAGTGTACGACGAACATGAAGCTGTGAGAATTTTTCGAAACGGTGCCGTAATGGCGCGGTTAGATGTGTTTGATTATCAAAACCACGATGATGCCTCCTTTTGCTCTCTTCTCTGCTGCCATGGTATCCTTATCCAAGGACGCCTTGGCCTCTCGCCGAGCACCCCTCCCGTGCCCCTCCTTATCTCACAGGGCATGCAACTGAATGTTTGTTGGCAAACCATGCCAGCCATTCTCACCCGTGCTTATATGAATCGTGCCCATATGTATCCTGCATTGCGCGCATGCCTTCAAAGGGTCGCCAACACGATGAACTCGTAAGCATGCACGCGGGCAACACGACTAACAACAAGCAGCACGGACAGCTGCTTGCAGACTAACTGGAAGTCAGAGGCTCTACTCGACCAATCACAACATATCTGTGCCTAGCGTGGATATTTGAACGGCGCGTCACGCGGAGGCCTGAAAGGCCTGTACAGAAGAAGGGATTGTTTCTTCGTATTTGTGGCACGCCGGCGACTCGTAGCTCTGCCCCATGTAAAACCATTTATCGCGACAGCATTCTACAGATGATGTGCGTGGTCACTTGAAAAGTTCAAACAAAAAATATTGGAGTTATTTTAGGGGCACTAAAGCCATGTTCTCTCCCCAGTGACAGCAAAGCACACGCGAAGGCTAGGAGATGGGTGAGAGCCGAAAAGGGAAAGAGGAGAGGATGGTGAACGGCTGGCTTGGGCACATCTGGCTGGCATTAAAAAAAAATCGCAATGTTCATAGACTGCCGCGCTGCCAAGCGAAATTCAGGAGCGTCCCCTCTCAAGAATGGTCAGTAAGCAGACACTCCATTGTTTTTAAGGCATTCGTTACGACTTCGCATGTTTCCTGCATCAGTGAATAAACTTGTCCCTCCATGACATCACAAATCTGACTCGTTCTTGCGAGACACACGTGAAAATACATGGCAACTTGCGCTTTTGATGATAGCCCGCAGAGTGCACATAACGGCTTCACGAGGTTATCTATAGCCACATAGGTTCACCTGATCTCATTTTACTAGCATTCGCTAGTGATAATGCAGGGAATGAATCCTGTTCGCAGAATGCGATAACAAATTGACCAGTGCGGCTTGTCTTTAATAGATGGCAGCACACTGTGAGCAATTTGAATATTGACTGGTGCGCAAAATGTTCTCCAAAGGTCTTTCGAAGTGTTCGAAGCCGTTCGGCATAGGGAATCTCTCAGATTGCTTTCAACAGTGGTGTTGAAAAAAATTATCTTGATGACGAGAATTTTCATTGGATGTAGAAAGCTGCCGACACATTGAGAGTGACAACGACGATGAAGGATCTGCTGCTAACTCACGAGGACCAAGTTGAACTTCTCGTCTCCTTGTGTGCTAATGTTTTTTTTATGCTCGTAAGTCGCTTCAATTGTATTTATAGTATAACATAATTCAGCAAGGTCAAAATAAATGCATATTTTTCTTCTGAGCATGGCATTTAGCCCAATTAATGTGACTATCATGGAGCGTCCCAGGGATGGCACCCTGATTGAATTTTGGAGGTGTTTATTTTTGGGGGATAAAAATCTGAAGGACATTCTTGTCAGAGCAAAAACAAACACCCCCGAAATTCAATCAGGGTGCCATCCCTGCGGAAAAGCTCGATGCAAGGTATGCCCACAGGTGTTCACAACACGTGAATCCAAAGCGAACTTCTCGGATTTAAAATTCTGCATAACTGAAAGTCTTAATTGTGACTCTAGCAACGTAATATACATGCTACATTGAAACATCTGCAGACAAGAATATATCGGCCAAACAGACACGCCATTTCGGCTGCGGCTCAATAATCACTGGTACCACGCCACTTCACTGCCGAAGCTACTTTTATTTGGACATCTGCGCCTGCCAAACCACAGTTTTGAAAATATCAACAACTCTTTTGCAGTCCGATTTCTCAAACAGACGCGAGTGTAAAGAGCGTGAGGCATATTTTATTTTCAAATTTCGAACATTAGTAGCCGGCATCAACGAGGACCGCAGAAGACTCTCCTGCCTTCGAGAAGTAAGCCAGGAGGAAATTGGTGACAAAGATTGATAGCTGGAGAACATGCTTGTTTTTTAAGAGTGACTCGTACGTGTACACTGTCCTTTCTTTTTTTTTTCTCCTTTTTTTCTTTTTTTCACATGCACATACAAAGCGGTTCTGTTCGCCTACCACTTGATGACCATTGAAGGGAAATGGACGAAGATGAAAGAGAGCCGATCGACCCATTAAGGGGAAACCCTTTCCTTACGCACGCTGTCACGGACCCCTCCCGCCACCGCGGCGACAATCTTGGGTGGCTCGACACACGCCGAGAACTGACCAGCACGGGATTGGAACCGGATGTGGACGTACACGGACCTTTGGTTTTGTTCTCAGTGTCGACAGTGGTTCTTCTTCTTTTTTACTTTCTTTTTTTCTTTTTTTTCCTTTGGTTCTTTTCGTCTTTTTTTCTTTCTTCCTTTTTTGTAGTTCTCTCTCACTCTCGCAAACATCTTCCAAGGCGAGAGGGATGTGGCAGCAACGAAGTTTGGAAGTTCATGTTAGTATAACTCATCCCCTGATGAAGGGAGGACCCCTCCCGAAACTGTTGGGAAATAAATATATTTATCCTTGTTGAAAACGCTCCCGTTGTGCCATATCCCATACCTATATATATATATATATATATATATATATATATAAATATATATATATATATATATTGTTACGTCTACGAGGGGGGTTTATTCAGAGCCGACGTAATGGTCGACTGAACGGTATGCAGCAGTGAACGCGCACGAGCGAGCTCTTGCCACCAACGAACGTCCTCTTCTTTTGCCACCACCCTGTTCCCCACTACACAGGTGCGCATACCTAAATTACATATGTGGTAACATTTCCCTCCGCGCAGACGAAGCCCACAGGGCGAGTCAAACAGTCTCTCGAAGAATAAAGCGCTTCAAACGTGCAACATGGGCAAGTTCAGTTTTTGCAGACCGTCGGCCGTTCGAATGGAGACGCGCTATGCGGTTAACTAAATCACTGATACGGTTTAGAATAAGATATCCCGCATATTGCGCTAGAAGTTTCTCGCACAACCGCCTTTTCTAGTTGGTGTCCACAGCAACACTAGGTCGCCGCGATTGTATGTCACGTGTCGGTGCCGGTGGTCAAAATGTGCATTCGAGCGGAAGCAAGAGGACGCAAATAAGCAAAGTGTTTAGCTTTTTCTGCCCGACAGATGATCTCAGATATGCAGCGATCATGATGGTCCAAACACGGGAAGATGGTATTCAGGGTATGACGAGGTGGTCGAGCATATAGAAGAAAGAAAGTACTGTAGCCGGTAGTTTCATGCAGTGCGGTGTTGAATGCATATGTGATAAAAGGTAGAATACTGTCCCAGTCCTTGTGATCTGATGCGACATACATAGACAGCATGTTCAAGAGAGTTCTGTTCGTTCATTCAGTTAGACCGTTCATTTCGGGATGATACAGTTAATTGGATACGTGAATTCTGGACCGATCGCCTTCAATTTGTTTCCACCAACTCACTTTCCTCGTCTCTATCCCCTGTTTTATCTGGTGTGCCCCAAAGCTCCGTACTTGGACCGCTACGCTTTCTCATTTATATTAATGACCTACTTGTTGTTGTATCATCTAATATACGCCTTTTTGTAGATGACTGTGTTCTGTATCGTCCAATAACAAACTCCATAGACTCTTCCTTTCGCCAGGATGACCTTCTTAAAATCCAGGCGTGGTGCAACCAATGGTACATGTCCCGCTACGTCAGTAAGTGCTCTCACGTGTCCTTTCATCGTCGCCGTAACTATGTAGCTTCTTCTTACTCTCTCAACAACAACACATTAACCCAACAAGACATTTAAATACCTAGGAGTACATATATCTAGTGATCTGTCTAGGGCCCATCATATGGGCCGTAACCTATCATCAGCAACCCCTAAAGTCAAACGACTTGCATATAAAACATTGATTCGATCCAAA